GTCAGTATGTGTGTATGTGATGAGTGTGTTTGACATGCTACAGTGGGTAATGAATGAGCTAAACAAAACTGTATGTGACTTTATATGGGAAGGGAAGGGGGTGAAAATTGCACAGAAAACATTGGTGGGGAGGACAAGGGAGGGAGGGTTAAATGTAATGGATTTGGAAATAAAAAAGACTGCAATAAGAATAAAAACGATACAAAAATAAATGGCGGGGAAATGGAATTATGGGTGAAAGGAATTTCTAAAGAAATACATTGTCACTGGTTTGAGGGGTAAGTAGGACCCAAATGCAGTCAACTCTTGGGAGAACGGTGCGCAGAGGTTTATTTAGTAAACGTGAACGTGACATGAACAAACCCCGAACAAAACTGACGAACCAACACAGACAAAGGGGAGCACAAAGACTATATAGACAAGGGAGGCAAGGGTGATTGAACACAGGTGAAACACATTAGGGCGGGGCAGACAATCACTACACAGAAACAAGACCAAGACAAGAAGCAAAAACACTGAGATACACAAGGAACCAAATTACAAAATAAAATAGGAAGTGCGAGAAGTCCAAAACAAAACTAACAAAAAGTGTCTGCCATCGCACAACATGACATACATTGATGACGTGAGGGGAATAGGAGAGCATGGTTGGTACATGGGAGTTAAACAATCAATGACGGTGGGAATACCAGAGATCTATAGAGAGGTGCTTGAGGCATGGAGGAAATTTCTTCCTAAACTGAATTATGAGTATGAAGGGATACAAATGTTTATAAATCAACCATTGATTCTAATGAAAAATTCAAATGTAACAATAAAACGTATGAACCAAAATTTATGCAAGGAGGTATAAGACAAATCAAGGATACTATGTGTGAGGTTATCCCAGGATTTCTCAGAGAGAACTGTATATACGATTCAGTATGTGAATTAGAGGGGATGGAAAGCAGGGACAAAGAAAATAAAATATATGAAAGGATCAAAACAAGTATACTGTACCTATGGAATGGACTAATATCATTGAAAAAGAAAATGTGATGAAAAAGGAGGTATATTTACCTGAGATGTATGTGATGGAGCATGGGAAGAAATGTAAAATTAAGGATATGAGTGTGAAAAAAGTATACAAATGGTTAACAGCTGATGTAGTAAAGAGACCAGCTGCTGAGAAAGTTTGGAGCAGAATGTTTGAGGACTTTGATGTAAAGAAAATATGGTTGAATGTAAACATAAAATATAATAGCATAGAGTGTGAAAATAATGTTTTTTTGATAAAACATAATACCATATAGACAAATGTGGTGTTGCACAAAATTAATAATGATGTGAGTGCAACATGCGAAGTATGTCATATGGCCCATGAGAGCTTTTTGCATTATTTTTTGGACTGTGTTGAGTTGGTGGACTTTTGATTTTTTAAGAGCACTTTTGAAAGAAAATTGGAGTGTGGGTTTAGATTGTGAATAACAATGGAGGAAATTGTTTTTGTTTGGTTTACTTGAAAAAAGCAAGAATGTGAATTTTTGGTTGTTTAATTTTGTTTTGAGCCATGCCAGACTAGCGGTAGTACATAGAAGGAATTATGCACACTTTGAGGGACGGGTACTTAATGTGAGACTTTTGTTTAAAGCAATAATGAAGAGGGATATAACATTAGCTTGCAAGTATGGAGGGGAGGAGGTGAGAGAATTTTTTGTGAGTGGGAATAAGTTTATCAATGAAGGGGAAGGGGGAAAGATTTTATTTGATTGGTAATTTGTTCATTGGTTGTTAAATACTTTTTCTGTTAAATTAAACAGACGGTTAAATTCGTAATAGTGAGGGGAAACAGAAAAGTCATGTATTTTCTGTGATATATTTGTGATATATTGACTAATGTATAAAAAAGTATGTATCTGTGTGCATAAAATTTAATCATACTTGGATGCTGTGTACTGACAAGTGTAAAATTGTGGATTGAAGGAAAATAAAGATTAAAAAAAAAAAAAAAAGAACACGCCCGATCTCATCTGATCTCGGAAGCTAAGCAGGGTCGGGCCTGGTTAGTGCTTGGATGGGAGACCGCCTGGGCATACCATTCATTAATCTGCCGACATATGTGGAAGATATGACAATAATGGACAAATTAAGGGATTGGGGAGTGAAACCAGCTTCCCGAATAAAAAGACGGCAGTGGCCAGGTACGGACATAGCAGACGGAACAAGGTTCTTAAAAGTGAAGTTCAATGATACAGTAAAATCTCTGCCCTATTCCACTAAGTTTGAGACAGCGGGGAGATCGGAACACTTTCGTGTCATACACGATAGACAAGTGAAGGTCTGCCATTTGTGCATACAACCTGGTCATATAGTGAGAGACTGCCCGGCATTTACGTGTTTCAGATGTGGGAACCAAGGACGTTATGCATGTGAATGCACAGAGCAGCGACAGGAGCTGCAACAGGAGCAGATGGAAGGAGGGGCGAATGAAGAGGAGCAACACCGGAGGGGAGATGGAGAGGGAGAAACTACGTCAGGATGGACAGGAGTGGAGCAGAGTGTTACTCCTGCTTGACAATCACAGCTCTCACATTTCAGTGAAAGCAGTTAATTACTGCAAGGCAAATGGAATTGTGCTACTCTCTACCTCCACATTGCTCATACAAACTTCAACCACTAGATCGAAGTGTCTATGCTCCACTGAAGAAGGCTGTAAACTCAGCTGGGGATGCCTGGATGAGGATGAATCCTGCCAAGATGATGACCATTTATGATGTGCCATCACTTATGAGAACAGCTCTGCCCACTGCTGCATCTCCTAGCAACATACAGGCCGGATTCAGATGCACAGGCATTTGGCCATTTAACCCAGACATTTTTCAGGACCATGACTTTGCACCTTCCCAAGTGACTGACCGTCCAGACCCAGCTTCAATGGCTTCTGCAGTTTCCAAGCAAGACTCCCTCGCAACAACAGCAGCTTCCACCCTGCCCCAGGTGTCCTCTGCAGCTACAGAAGCATCCACTCTGTCTCAGGTGTCCTCTGCAGGTACAGCAACTTCCACTCTGTCTCAGGTGTCCTCGGCAGCTACAGCAGCCTCCAATCTGCCACAGACATCCTCTGCAGCTTCCTCCTCTGCTCCTGCTGAGCCCTTAACTAAAGTGTTCAGTCCCTCTACTGTAAGACCATTTCCCAAAGCAGGGCCAAGAAAGACCACTGGTACGACAAGGAGAAGGAGAAAGTCAGACATCTATACAGATACACCAGTCAAGCAGGCCTTGGAGGAAGAAGAAAAGAAGAGGAGTAGTAAGAAGAATGTGAAAATGGCCATATTTGGAAAGAGGAAACGCAAACAAAATAATGCAGAGAGAAAGACAGCCAAAAAGAGATCCAAGAAGAACAAAGATAAGGGTGAGGACACCTCAAATGAAGATGATTTTTGTATTGTGTGCATGGAGCCCTTTGGAAATTCCAAACCCAAAGAAAAGTGGATCAGATGTGTAAATTGCAAGTTCTGGGCCCACGAAAACTGCACCCCTGGAAAACCCACAAACATCCGTCACCACTGTGACTCTGATCACTCTGATTAGATGGATAACACACACAGATACACACACTCAAGTTCATGTTTTATCATTTAAGACAGACACAGTGTGCATGTTTGTTGTTTTACTAATTGTCAAACGTCTTCCTGTAATTTTACGTGGATTATGAGCTACTTCTGACCTCCTGCTGAAGGTTTCCATTTGTATGTGTAACATTCATAGGTATTATCAGAATATGTTCTTTAAGAAAGCTCTTCTAATGTTAGGATCCATACCACTGACACTGTTCTTCATTTAGCCATCAGTGATGAGTTCTTTTTGTTCTTAGAGAAGCACAGGAAGATGCTTTAGTGTTGGCACATGCACAATAAACTTATATAGATGCATATTTTGTGGTGTAGTCTCAGTTTTTAGTTCTTCAATCTTACTGTTACAATTTACCCCAGGTTGTGTTACAACATACCCTGGTAGTGGGGTAGGTTGTAACAATGGCACTCCTTGCATTTGACATCAAATAATGAATTCTGTGATATAGCTGGAGAAGTTAAAAACATTGCTATTTGTAGTAGACAAATGAGGGTACTTTGTGTCAAAATTTGAGTGCCCTACCACAAACATTCTGCAAGTTATATGAGCTGAGTCAAAAAGTGTTACAACCATCCCCGGTCTCCCCTAATGGACAAGTTGAGAGATTGGGGAGTGAAACCGGCTTCTCGAATAAAAAGACGAATGTGGCCTGGGACGGACATAGCGGATGGAACAAGGTTTCTGAGAGTGAAATTTACGGAGAAAGTTAAATCTTTGCCCTACTCCACCAAGTTCGAGACAGCAGGAGGATCTGAACACTTTAGAGTGATACATAATCGACAAGTAAAGGTCTGCCGACTGTGTATACAACCGGAGCACATAGTGAGAGACTGCCCGGCGTTTACATGTTTCAGATGTGGGAACCAAGGACATTATGCACGTGAATGCACAGAGCAGCGACAGGAGCAGCAACAGGAGCAGCAACAGGAGCAGACGGAAGGAGGGGCGAATGAAGAGGAGCAACACCGGAGGGGAGATGGAGAGGGAGAAACGATGTCAGGATGGACAGGAGAGGAGCAGAGTGGAGAAAGGGGAACTGGAGATGAAGAGGAGCGGATGCAGGAGGAAGAGGAGCAAGATGAAGATGGAGAGATAGTAAGAGAGACACCTATGGGAGATAGAAAAGGGAAGGAGACAGAGGAGACTGTTAAAAGGGTAGACAGGGTGGGGGAGGGAGAGATGGGAAAAAGTGATGTGGAGAAAAGGGGGACAGAAAGGTGTGGCAAGGTGGCGGTCATAGGATGAGTTTGTTGCCGAACAACGCCACCTGGGGAATTGCACCCCAGAAAATAATAACAAATATTTATAAACAAAAGCTAAAAGCTACGCAAGTTCGTAATCACCACGGGGAAAGACAATGTTCATAATACAAACTTTATAAAACAATGATGACTAAAAGAATGTTCCATAAATGCTGTCTAAAGCACATAATGTTAGACACGGGGCCAAAGGAGAAGGGGGAATGGACAGTGCTGGGTTACTTCGGCGGCCCGAACCCAATGAGGGAGGGGGGAAACTAAAACACCCGTGACACTGCACACACACAAACTGAAAACGTGAAGAACCGCCACCAGGGATTGGGTAGCCACCCGGAGCCCACAGCACCTGTCCACAGGGAGAGAAAGAACAATAAAATGGCCACACCTTACCACTACACACACACCAAACAATAATAAGTAATAAAGTAAATAACGAAATAATCTAACTTCTCAAATATAATATGACAGGCAATTAACAATCTACAAAAGAAATCAAACTCAATGAAACGGTACTCAAATGAATACTCATCTTAACAAAACAAAAAGAATTAAATCTCAAATAGAATACAAACAACAATACAAAAGAAATCAAATGAAATTAAATCAATGTTCAAAATAACTAAATACTTGTATAAAACCAATAAACAAAAACAGCGGCAAAGACGGCTACGACAGCCGCATCGACACAGCGGTAATTAGACAGCGGAACCAAGTACTAGTAAAATCAAACAAACAATAAAACAAATAGTAAAACCATGTAGACCAATAGAGCCAAAACAGCAACACCATCCAGCGAGCCGTGGCGGTGAATCAGTTTCTGAATCGACCTCACCGGCACAGCGTCACAGCAGGCCAAGCAGCGGAGTTACTTCCCGACTTCTGCCTGGTCCAAACTGTGGCACAATTTAATAATTAGCCAGGGGCGAACAAGGAGGAAGGAGGAGGAGGGAGAACGGACAACGCCAACTCACCACGAGGATGCACAAACCCACACAAGGGGCTTCCAGCGGGGCAGCCCAGTCCCCACGGCGACAGTATTTCGACACCTGCAGCAGAGAATGGACTGTCACTGCTGCGCAATATGGCACGCTAAACAGGAGGGAGAACGGCGGTGTGCATACCTTTACACTGCAGAACGAGCGTGCGCCACGATGGCCAACACGCCAAACAGCGCTCCGGTGTGCGCACAGCCACACCACAATGCCTCCTCACCCCTGCACTAGCCACACCACACCACCACAGTGGACGAATGGCCCCGGAAGACAAGAGAGAGTGAGGCAGATGGAACCAGACCCGTATATAAAAGATGTGGCACCACCCAGCAATCAATGTGACAAAAACCACAGCGCTGCACTAGGAGGGGCGAGGAACAGCGCACCTGCTACAAGGGGAAATGGAGGGGGAACACGTGAGGTAAGAATGAGGGAGAAGGGGGGTGGGGGAATGAGTGAGGGAGTGGGGGCAAGACAGGATGGGATGGAGTGGAGAGGATCCGATGCAACAGGTAGTGAAGAGGAAATTATGGTGAAGGTGGGAGAAGTGAGAAAAAGATCTGTGAGCAAGAAGCATGGCAACAGACTGGACAAAGCGAAAAAGAAAATTGTAAAATGATAAGTAATTATGGAGACATTCTTTTCATTTCTAATTTCAATGTTTATCATTTCCTCCTTTAATGGGAAAAGACAGGAATAAGGACAGAAGACAGCAAACTCTGATGACATGTGAAGCGGACATTATATGCCTGCAAGAGACGCATTGGGATGATAACAGCATGAGGGAAGCTAAGAGAGAATGGATGGGTGAACTGTATGTGAACAATGGGGGGTTGAAATCAAGAGGGGTAGCAATTCTAGTGAAAAAAGGAGTGATTGAGAATGCAAGAAAATGTGTGGATGATGGAGATGGAAGAGTGATTGGGATAACATTCGAACATACGGGGAAACAGTTTCAATTAGTCAATGTTTATGCACCGAATGAGGAGAAAGAGAGAAAGGCATTTTTTAAGAGGGTAGGGAGGTTGTGTGGCAACAATAGTATGATTGTGGGTAATTTCAATGTGTGGTGTGGAAGGCTGGATGCATCATCAAATGCGTGCTATAAAAGTGACGCACCAAGAGGTGTGCTGAAAGAGATGAGAGAGAGGGAGTTGATTGATGTATGGAGAGAAAGGAATCCAGAAAGGAGGGTTTTCTCTAGGAGACAAGTGGTGATGGGGGTGTTAAAACAAAGTAGGATAGATTTAGTGTTGGGTGTGTAGCAGCATAGAGGAAGCTGCTTGTGATTGATGCCAGCTGGTAGCTGATAATTGGTCCAGCTTGGTATAAAAGTGGCATTTCCGGACCGGACGATTGTTTGCCCCCTCAGAGCGGCGACGGTGGGCTGTGCTTCTGTTGTATTTGGCGTCTTCTGTATTGGTAAATGCCAGTAGCCGTGCGGGTCTCATCTCTCCCTCACTCCTCATATGCCTGTGTGAACTTTCAAAAGGTAGGCATTTGCTATCGCTGCTTCCCGAAATGTATTCAATTTTAGCCTAGCGATGCTAATTTAGTTTTTTTTTAATTAGGAAGTCTCATCAGCTGACGGAGTCCACCGTTGGTGTGACGTAACCACCAGCTGATTTGAGCCACTGCTGTTTCGTCTCCTGCTTGCTTTGTCTCCTGTTTTCGTGCTTGCTGGCTTGCTCCCCTGCTCTGTGTTTCACACCTGTAGGCCTCAGCTCCTGAACCTTGTTTCCCCTTTTTCTTTATTGTTTTGTATGGCTGGAGTGTATAGCCTATTTATAAGAATATTGCAATAAAGTATACCTTGTTGTAAGTACTTGGAATCGCGTCTTGTGCCTTGAGTATAATGAACCTGTGTGTCCCATTAACTGATAATGGTGAATAATTCCTCGGGTGAAATTCCCAAGGTGGCGTTGTCAGGCAATTAAAATAGAATTTGGATTGGTGTGACCCACTGCTCGACGCCGCGACAGGTGCAAAGGGCATAGCAGACAGGATAGGAGAGATAGAGTATAAAGTCACAACGTTAAGTGATTATATGGTGGTAAAGTTTAAGTTAAATCAACAACTAGAAAGGAGAGGAGGGGGTGTGTGGTGTCTGAATGGTGATTTAATAAGGGATGGAAAATATAAAAAGAATATGAGAGATTGGATAAAGATGAGAAAGGAAGAGAATCTGTACGAGGAAGATATAGGGAGGTGGTGGGAGAGTATGAAGAAAGGGATAAAAGAGATAAGCATAAATCACAGCAAGGAGAGAGAGAGGGAAAGTAAATCAAAGAGTTAAATAGAGAGGATAGATAAGGGAGAAGAATGATTTAAAAAACTATATAAGAATAAGAGATGAATTGAAGGAGATAGAAAAGAGGAGGTGTATGGGTGCGATAGTTAGAAGAGCGAGATATGTGGTTGAGGGAGAGAAATGCACAAGATATTTTATAGCCCGGGGTTAGATGGTATAACAGCGGAATTTTATATAGAATTTAAAGAAGAATTAGTGCCAGTGATGTGAGGTGGATAGAAGAGAGAGACAAAATGATATCAGACATGTCAATAGGGATAGTAAGCATCATATATAAAAAAGGGGAAAGAGACAAATTAGAAAATTATAGACCGCTCACAATGTTAAATACAGACTATAAAATATTAGCACGGGTGTTAGCTAGCAGAATAAAAAGAGGTATTGGCACGGAGGTAGGAAACACGCACCGGGAAGGGATATAGCTGACACAATATGCAGTATAAGGGACACAATAGACTATATGAAGAGAGGGGAAGGGGGGATAGTATTAAGTTTAGATTTGGAAAAGGCTTTTGATAGGGTGGATCACCAGTTTCTATACAGGGTGTTGGAGGGAATGGGTTTCGGGCATAGGATAGGTGGTTGGAAAAGGAGAATGTATGACAGTGCAGTTAGTTGTGTGAACATCAATGGTATGGTCACTGACACGTTCGGATTACAAAGGTCAGTAAGACAAGGATGTCCAATGTCGTCGATGCTGCTTGATGAATGTAAAAACCAGTTTGGTGTATAAATGTTTAAGGGGGAAAGATGTGAGAAGACCGGCTGCGAAGAAAGTATGGGAGAGAGTATTGAATAACATGGATGTAGGGAGGATTTGGAAGTGAAATGGAATAACAGTGAATGTGAAAATTTTGATTTTCTTCTAAGACATAATAGGATCTTCAACAATTTAATAATAAGCAAGTTTGATAAGACGGTGAAGAAGGAATGCGATGTATGTGGAAAGGATGTGGAAACATGTATGTATGACCGTAACCCAGTAAAGGGGCCACAGGAAATGATACAGGTGATGGTCAAGAACAGGCACGGACAAAGAGTTTTCCCCCAAGTTCACAATTTTTTATTATTCTGCAGCAAGAAAAACTAACAGCATGTTTAATAAACAACTTTAAAAAAAATACTAAGCAAGAGCACGACAAGACGGCTAGGCACGGCCGCAGACACGGGGAAGAGGGGGGTCTGATAGGACAGAGCACTCACCTCACTCCATGCCCAATACACACACACACACACACACGTCAAAACAATCAAAACGTGAGGGGAAAACCATAAATTGTGAAGGACGTGCAAAATTACCACCACGCACACAATTAAAGGGGTGTGAAGCTGGGGTGAAAAACTCCGGACACCGATCCCTCCACCGTCCAAGCGGCCACACTATCACCGGCCCTGCAGTACTCGTGCAAAGAAAAGAGAACACAACAACAAGTTAAAAACCGTACACAAACAACTGCCGCAATAAATATATTAAAAACCCTTGGGGGAAAATTAAACGAGTTAAATGCCACAGAGGGCTAATATGACAAAGGGACTAAAGAACTAACAGAAATCATCTAATGCAACAAAGAGCAAAATAATGCCAAAAAAAATGCAAAAGAAACTATATAACGAGTGAAACAAAACTAGCTAAACAAATAAAACAAAACAATATAACAAAACAAAACAGCAGTGGCAGTCTGTCTATAATAAAAGAGAACACAAGCCAATTAAATAACAATTCTGCCAAACCAATAATAAAAATGCATGAACAAAGAAAGGTGGCGTATTACCTCAACACAATTACATGTGTTTCAACATGCGGGATACCCAGGAAGCAGGACCTACAGCAGGACAAACCATGCAGAGGGTAAGCCACACAATCAGACAACCAATATCACAGAAAGAATAAAAAAACCTACCATACAATATGTGTGCCAAACAGTATACCAGGTACCATGAGGAGGCAGCAGCAGAGAGAAAGCCGGTCTGCCGGTTTAAATACACTAATAAATGAGGAAGTGGGTAGAGCTATCCTGCTATCTAATCCTACGGTGGCCTGGGAGGGACATTCGCTACCGGTCACATATGCATGAGTTTGTTGAATGCAGTGAGTTGCAAGCATACTTTGAGAGAATGAAAAAGTTAATGAGGTGTTGGCAAGAGAGAGTGGTGGAAAGTATGGAGTGGAAGATATTGTGGCTGTTTGGTGTGGATGGAAGATTGAAAAAAGGGAACGTGAGTCTGTTGAACTATGTATTAAGTCATGCAAGGTATGCTGTCAAGCTGAGAAGGAATTTAGCCCATTATGAGAGAAAAAGAGCTGATGTATGGAGCATATTTAGGAGCGGGATGAAAAGAGATGTCATTATGATGTACAAATCATCAAACGCAGAGGATTTTTCCAAAGGGTTTATTGAGGGAAGCACCCTTATTAAGATTACATTTTATAACTCACCCCGACTTATCATTATTATTAACATATTATTTTACCACAATTGTACATTGTATTCTTACATTTTATCACTAAAATGATGTGACCTTTTTAATTTTCTATCTAAAGCCATCATGCCACGCATTTATAAAAAATAGACAAACAAGGGTTCAACTCCTCTTGTGGATTTGGACAGAGCAGTGAGAGAGGTGCAAAAGGGGAAGACCATACCTCAGGTGGCAAGGGAGAGGAAGAGCTGCAGGATGACCTTGAAAAGATATATGGAGAAGTAACAAAAACAGGGTATGAAAGAACAGGACTTGCCAACCAAGCCTTCAATGAAGACATGGAGACAGAGCTGGCAGACCATATAAAGCAACTAGCTGCAATGTTGCATGGTATAAGTGCCATGAAATGCCGTGAACTTGCTTTTGAGTTGGCACACAGAAATGGCATTGATATCCCTGCAAGCTGGATCAGGAAGAAAAAAGC